AGCAAATCAGCTTACTTCCACCTGTTATTGTTGACTCACCCCTCTTGGGGTGAGTTTTGGTGATGTCAAAATTGACGTCCCTTTAAATGTGACATTCAAGAAGGGGGACATGGTCACAGTCACCTTCTGGTCTGCTTGCCCGAGGAATGATCTGATGACTGAGGGCACATATGCACTGGTAGAGATTCTTGAGGGAAAAGAGGCATGGATTCCTGCATATGACGACGATGATTTTTGTTTGCGTTTCAAGTGGTCAAGGCCTGCTAAACTTAGTCCTCGAAGCTATGCAACCATAGAATGGAGAATCCCTGATTCTGCAGTTTCTGGTGTGTATAGGATACGGCATTTTGGTGCTTCCAAGAGACTCTTTGGTTCTATCCACCATTTCACAGGTTCATCTAGTGCCTTTGTAGTGGCATAGCAGTACTATATTCTAGTTATTCCAAGGTAAGTATTGGGCTCATAATTCATGTTTGATATATCATTGCGTGTATGTGCCCGTGGCATCAGTATAGGAATGTAAATGTGAAGCACACCTTTGTTCACCGAAGGATGAAAATATCAATAAATATGACACATTGGCAGTTCAGTATTATTTGAGGACTGTCAATGCACTTAATGCAACTAATTAGCTGGTTTTTTTTAATATCGTAACTTTGTTTTAGAGAAGGATTTATAAGAAGTTTCTGGTGACATTGCAGGATTGAGATGTTATATATGTGCTTATAGGGAATTACGTCTCAGAACTTTGGTCTTTTTCTGACAATGAAGAGCATAAGATATAATCCTTTTCATTAAACTATTTAAGGATGTTGTAGCTTCTGACCCACTGGATGAAGACCTAGCATCAAATAAATTAATTTTTATAATCATTTTGTGATATCACATATTTATCCAGTATGGTTGCAGTAAAATTCTCAACTTCGTTTTTATTACTGCATTTGAGCTAAGATCTTTTGTTTAAGGAAATTAGCTAAAAAACTAATAGCTTTGATTTAGGCAATTAGCATTTAGAAAGCTGCATCTGCGTGTTTGTACCTTATGTTCACGTAATACGTGGATTGGGTGGAGCAAAAATAGTAGTTGATTTGCGAGTCATACCTGATTACATGTGACGCCATATGCTTTGCATAGATGATGCAAATCCTTGAAACAGTACTGAATTACTGATTAATCGAAATATTACCAGATAAATTAATTCAATTTGTTAACTTGCCCTCGTCTTCTACCATACATTTATAGGCAATAAATATAGAGTTGTGAAAGTGTGCTACTGCATATGCTTGGATATCTTGTAGACATGGTTAAAGTTGGATTACGACCAAGTAGATATTCTTTAGCTATAACATAGGAATGATGCCACCAGCTACTCAAAAGCGTGTGCCTCGCGGGGTAAATTCGTCATTGTGACGGTGTTGGGTTCGAAATTAGGTGCTATTTAATTGAGATTTTTATGCTAACTTCTACAGAATTAAATAGCGTTAATTTTGATTTGTTGGTATAAAAATATTTATTGCTAAATAAACAGTTCAAATAAAATAAAATAAAATTTTAATGTGAGAAAAGTAAAAAGAATAATTTTTTATACTTATTTACGATTTATTTTTTATAAAATGCATAAATAAGTTATTAAAAAAATCAAATAAGCAAATTTTTTAAAGTAAATTAAACAATCCTCTCTTTTTTTTTCTTTTTTTTTTTTTACGTTTTTTGTAGACGCGTTGGTCACGTGCCGAGAAGTAGAAACACCATTTCACATCCGAATTAAATATTGGGTATAAGTTAGAAATGTTTGGACAAATGTTCTGGGGCGTTCTCACCCTTTTTATAATAAATTATTGCAGAGCTTATTTAAGAATAGCGTATCCCATGTTGGATAGACCCGAACTTAATGTCCAGATGAACCAATTAATAATTTCATATTTAAACCCCTTCAATAAACAATAACAACGACACCTTGGTGTCTAAACAATAATTATATTCTAAGCCATAAAAACATTAAGAATTGTTTAAGTTGTCAAATCAATGCCATGGATGGTATATTCGCTAGTTTCATGCATTAATGTTTAACCGACGTAACTGTTCTTTTTAAATGTTGGCATCCTGTCATGTGGAATGGGTATCGGGTCATGGGTCAACCAGGAATTATCGGATGGTTAGATTGCCAAGTGATCCATTTGATACTCTGGAATTGATTTCAATCGTCTGAACTGAACTGGGAATTATATCAACTGCAATCAATTAGTTAAGTTAGGTTGAGTCACGAGTCTTACGTCTTACATTAAATATGGTAAATAAGAAATGTTGAGTTATAACAAAAAAAATATTACATATCTTGACAATGTATATCTTGGAGAAATAATAATTATCTTATAACAAATAATATCAAGACCGTCTCTAATAAATTACTTTGATGGTGTTATGACTTATATATAAGTGCGTTTAATGCCTCCGTAGAGATAAATAAGGAAATAGAAGAATATAGACCCTACTTTTGATGAGTTCCCATCTTAATAAGAGTGTGAAAGATTAAAATGTGTAAAGAGTGTTATAAATTTCACATTTGATAGGATGAAGAAATGATACTAAATTATAGAAAGAAGTGTTGCACACTCCTAGTAAGTGAATTTTTTTGAAAAATAAAGTAATGATTCTTTAACAATTTGTATGTTGGCTCAACTAAATTTATAAAATTTCAAAAATTATTTATGCATTCATTTATAAACTTATTACACTTACTTTTATATGATGAATATAATTAAATAGTAAACAGAATTTGGTAAAAGATTAAATAATCAAGTATTTTCTAATAAATTAAAAATAAAAATTACCATTGTGCTTCGATTTGATTCAGATTTAAATAAATTTGATCCCAATGGCAGTTTCAATTCCAAAAAATTAAATTAATTTTTTTCAAATTTTAATAAAATTGAAGTGAATCCACTTCACACCCTCGCTGTTATGCCTCTAGTTTTAGTGTACTACTGTAAAGATTTTGTGTTAATCTATTTTTATAGGACTGTCATCTGGGTAGGACATAATGTAGGAAAGTGGCCGTGGTATTTGATTTACAAAATCTGAAATAACTTAAAATAAAATTACCAGATTTTATATTTTACAATAAAATACTTATGATAAAAGTGAAGAATAAAATTTTGCTTTTTTTTTTCCAGATTGTTTATCTCAAAAGTTTGCAATGGGGGAGTGTTTGATTTTTCAAAAAACCGACTCTTTTTTTTAGATTTTTATGATTGACTTTTTTAAAATGAAAGTTCTGATCTACTGTAATTTAATAAGTTAATTTTCTTTAATTTATGTAAAAAATGTTTAAAAAATTAGATTTTTCAAAGAATAAACTCCATCTTGACTTAGGCATTGTTTGCTATGGAAAGAAAAAGATATAATATAAAGGAAAAGACAAGGAAAAAAAGGGGGGAGGAGTTACCATATTTTCCAATGGAAATGAATGATTGAAAAAGAACCGAGGTTAGAAAAATGATTGAAAAAGGTCTGGGGTTATGAAAATGAAACCAAACAGGCCCTAAGTTATGAAAATGAATGATTCCCGTAGCAGAACCGAGAGGAGGTAGTAGTAGGTGGAGGAGGGCAGAGGGAAACGGGCAGGATCAGCGATAAATTACAACTGCCAAGAGTGTGATTAGACCATTGTTCGAAAGGACGGGAAGCGGTTCACTAGACCGCGTTAGGTAGGAAGGCATCAGAACTAGAAATGGGGAAGAGGCTTGCTAGAGTCGGTGTTAGTCGGCGGCGTTTTGCCGGTGACAAGCTATCAAGTGCTGCAGTAAACCGAGACAGAGGGATGACGGTAGACCCATAGAGTAACAGAATCATGATAATGAATGGTAAATTAACAGAGTAACTTGATTGGGATACTTACATGAAAACAAATTGAAGTTGGGTAAACAAAGTGAAATTCAAGTGCAAAGTTGGGTGGAGTTCACGTCAAGTCCCAAAAAAAAAAATGGATTTATAAACTAAATTAAACTAAATTATAAAATTTTAACAAAAAATAATTATGAAATAAACCTAATATCAACAAAATAATTATCCATTGAATAAAAACGGTTATATCACTAATTTATACAAAATTTACACTGACTTATATAATTTTAATATTTAATTTTAATTTTTAAAAAATTCAATTTTAATTAAATTAATGCACATCAACTTATATTTTACACAATTCTTCTTTAAAAAATTCATTGGGAAAATTAGTAAACTGAATAGCCTGATAAAATTAATAACTTAGAGGGTTTCATGTTTAATGTTTTTATTCGGAGTCAGAAATTGAAAAATTATCATTTAAAAATATTAATATTTTTAAAATATCTTTATTATTATAATTGTTATAAATATAAATTTATATAATTATAAATATTATTTTATATAATTATAAGTATAAATTTATATAATTATAAATATGTAATTGTATAATTATTTCAGTATTATTAATTATATAATTATATATTTATAATTATAATAATAAAAATATTTTAAATATATATATCCTTGTGTCATAATTTTTTTCTTTATAATCTATTTTATATTTTGTCGATGGGGCGCCACAGAGATGGCCGGCCAGGCGTATGCTTGGCAGCTGTGGTGCAACTCCCTTTCTCTCTCCGTCACCCCTACACTTCCTTACTGTTAACGTTGATAAAAATCTGAACAGAGTTTGGCCTCTCTGTTCCCCACCCCCTCTCTCTCTCGCTCTCTCTCTCTCTCTCTGTTAGGTGTTTCCATAGATACGGTCTCACAATTATAATAAAGCCTTTAAATGGACGCTTCAAATCACATCAAATTCACCAATCTCTCGCCAAAATCTCCTCATATCCCCAAACCGACATCCTTGGTCCTCTCTCTCTGCGCTCTCTCTAAAACCCCCAACTTTCCCCGCCGTTTCCAGATCTCGGAAATCAAACCCCAGTTCCATCCAACGAATTACTCGAAATACCCTAGAATTACTGTGTTCAAATTCGATGAAGGGCTCGGGGCTATGGTTGACGTTGGGGTTGGTGTCGGCGTGGTACGCGGCGAACATTGGGGTTCTGCTGCTGAATAAGTACCTGCTGAGCAACTACGGCTTCAAGTACCCGATCTTTCTCACCATGTGTCACATGACAGCGTGCACGCTGCTCAGCTACGTCGCTATAGTGTGGATGAAGCTGGTGCCTCTGCAGACGGTGAGGTCGCGCCTGCAGTTCACCAAGATCGCCACACTGAGCCTCGTGTTCTGCGCTTCGGTGGTTAGCGGCAACATTTCCCTCCGGTACCTCCCGGTGTCGTTCACTCAGGCGGTGGGGGCCACCACGCCCTTCTTCACTGCCGTCTTCGCGTATATTATGACGGTGAAGAGGGAGGCTTGGCTCACGTATATGACGCTCATTCCTGTGGTTACTGGGGTTGTCATTGCCAGTGAAGTAAACTGTTCCTTTCTGAAATTCCATATTCTAGAATCTATATGCTTTCTATTGGGAATTGGGAATTCAATTGATTATTGAAATTTTTGCAAATTATAGGATTTAGCTTTCACTGCGCAGCCAATATGCACTCGGAACGCGAGGCATTTTTTGCATCTGCATTCAAAAGTAATACGCTGCTATGTCATGAGGCCTTTTTTTCCTTGTAAATCTCTAAGTAATATGTAACCTTTCCATTCTGTGATAATCTGAGTCATGGCTTATGACACGTTAACACGTGACCAAACATGAATGGGATAGGACAGACATGATAAGCAGAAGTTTGGAGTTTGACACGAAGTCGACATGATTAAAATGAATTATTTGTAAGTTTGGTGAAGTTTTGAGATGTTTTAACGTGAACATGGATTTAATACCAACTATAACATGAACACCATTAACGGGACCAAGATTAAGAAACACAAATTGGTAGTCTACTCAATTGCACATGGGCTAGGAAAACCAGTATGATTTTAAATTTTCAGTGTTCAAAATTTAGCTATTCCTTCATTTATAAGAAATGAAGTATAATAAATGTGAATTATAGTTCCTTGCCCATTTTATTAATGGTTTAAGAAGCAGTGATAAGTAAATGCTGCTATCATTTTGTTCTGTAACTGCAGGGTGAACCCAGTTTTCATCTATTTGGGTTTATAATGTGTCTTGGTGCCACAGCAGCAAGGGCCCTAAAGACAGTGCTTCAAGGGATTTTGCTGTCCTCTGAAGGGTATTTTTAACTGCTTGCATTAGATATTTATTACTATAGCAAATTGGAGATCTTAGAGACATCATTTTGATTCACTATAATATATGCACTTTCTGAAAGCCCGAATTACTGATGTCTTAATTTCTTTTTATAGAGAGAAACTTAATTCTATGAACCTTCTGCTGTACATGGCACCTGTAGCTGCTTTATTCTTACTTCCTGCGACATTGTTGATGGAGAAAAATGTGGTTGCAATCACAATAGCACTTGCTAGAGATGATATCAAAATCATATGGTATCTACTCTTCAACTCTACCTTAGCATATTTTGTGAACTTGACCAATTTCTTGGTCACTAAACACACCAGCGCTTTGACTCTCCAGGTAACGTTCCCCTTTGTTCTGTTGGTACTTACATTTTAATTTGGTTTGATAGTATGTATCAGCCATTCTATTAGTTGAGAGATATATATAAAGAACACGCTAAGAAGGGGAAAAAGAAAAAGCAAACAAGCAAACAGATGAATTTTCTGAAAGGTGATAGGAGACGATTATTTCATCAGATTTTACTTTTGTAATTCCCTTTTTCATTTGTAGATGGATCTTGCATTTCTAAGTTATTATTTATGCATAGCCTTGTCCAGACAATTCTTATCAAATCAGACATTTTAGTATCTATGGCTTTTTAGCCACAGACAAGTGGGAACACTAGTATTATTCAATTTTTTTTGTTGTCTTGCTAAAACATAGTTCAGCACTTTTTGTTGATTTCCTCTGTTATTCTGAGGGTTATCCTTAATGATTTGGCTGGTATTCTATATTCTATTGGTAATTTTATTTTGCATGTCTAAGGTGTTAGTTTGCCTCCTCACAGTTGATATTTTATGCTGACATAGATTTAGTCTTTTGGCAGAATCCTTTTGCCAAAATTACTCCCCGGCAGTTACTCTTGATAGTTTGTTAGATATGGCATTGTAGTTAATTATGCTCTTGCGTTGTTGAATAATTTGCAGTGCAATTGAGACACTACAAATACTGTATCCCCACAGACCAGAGTGGAAATTTTTCTTTTTTCAAACTGAAAAATTCATGGTGGTAGTAGTAGTATATAAGAAGAAATAAAGTAAGCAGACTGCTATTTCTACAAAAAAGAAACTTCTAATATCTAAAATGTTTTTTCATTGTAAGATGACTCCAGAATGTAAGATATTAGCTAATATTCATCTCAGAAATTGGTACTTAAAATCATTTATTACAGTTGGTCTCTCTGCAACATAAACCTCGCATCCTATCAAAACATGCCCCCCCAACCCAAAAAAAATATATATATATATATATAATGGGTTATCAAAGAAACATTTATTTATTATTTGTAATCTACTTTCACTAATCCTATGTAATCAAAAAATATAACCTATTTTATCTAAAATCGCTTTTTTTTACACCTGCTTTTAAACAAGCCATTAATGTTTTTATTGAACAACGTCTACGAAGTTATTGTTACAGAAAAAATTGTAGGAAGCTTGATTATCCACAACATTGGTTTATGGCTGGGTGATGGTGGATGCTATTCAAAAAGGTTAGAAGATACTGAATGTTTGGTGGTGTATGGTATCTCTACGGCACTAAACTTCTGTTTTTTTACTGTGCATATATATTAGCTAAAAATTAAGAGGTTGACTGGACTTGCATTCTGTAAACTTTTGTTTTTTATAAGAAAAAAGAACTGCACATTGAGGGAAAGGAACCGAAGAACTAACCAGAAGCAACTTGTGCTTGGCAACTGAGTGCATATGGATTTCTTGTGCTATTGTATTTGCATGAATACATACTTGTATGAGTCATATGAATTATATGGAAAAATTAGCAAGTGGTTACCATTTAGATAGACTCCATTATTTTTTAGCTAATCAGAGCCCCTTATTGACATTTTATCTCTTAATTTGGTTCCAGGTCCTGGGAAATGCAAAAGGAGCAGTTGCCGTGGTTGTGTCCATTCTAATTTTTAAGAATCCAGTCTCAGTAACAGGGATGCTGGGTTACATCCTTACTGTCATAGGAGTTGTTCTGTACAGCGAAGCCAAGAAGAGGAGCAAATGAGATCCTTTTCTACTTATTCATATTTTATTCTCGGGTGCTACCAGACTTTTCTCAATCCAAGCTTGCCAATGACGCTGGAGCTGAATGTTGAATCCTTCTCCAGTATTATGTTTCCTGGAAGAGGAAAGAAGAGTCTCTGGTTGTGTCAACAATGACATGATTCTTTGACGTGTAGTTTTGTCCACGGTGAGGAGCTTGCTGGCCTCTCGCTTTCTGTTTTTAGTGCAATATTGAGCCAATTCCTTGGCAGGTAGGCTTGAACTCTTGCCTCATCAATCAGTCTCTCTCTCTTGATTTTTCTATATGAGTTCCCTTTTTTGTAAAATCATGAAAGGTCTCTTTGATATCTGTACCAACAAATGAACATTGAAGATGTGATTTTAATGTCGTAGAAACAGTGTATAATTGTAAATCAAAATCAATTCAATGTTTGTAGGAAGAATAATGCTTCCTTCTCGTATAATGTAATTGTAGTATATGTTTTCCCTTTCCTTGATTCGGTGTAAAATTTATATAACATGTATTCAAGTTCACCACTCTTTATTATACATGATTTAACTTGCTCATGTTCCTTCCTGTTTTATGTCATACAATTGGTTGAACCTGAACTTAACCGCTGTTTGGTTTTCCAAATATTATGGGTTCTAACATCTTTTTTGTTATGAAAGAAAAATTTAAATCTTTGCAAATGTTTGGTTTGTTTTCAAAAATTGATTTCTTTATTTGGTTCCTATATAATCTAAAAAAATTTATATGCAAATTAAAAAATATGTTTTTGATCATTTCTATCTCCTTTCAAGGTGTTTCATTTGAAATATTGAAAGAAAAACAAAAAATAGAAGAGTTGAAATACCTCAGTTTTTTGTTTTTTGTAGCAAAGCATGTTAGTAATCACCCAATTAATTAAAATTACTACAATGCCATGGTAAAAATTATTTTTTTAAGTCTAACAAAAATTATCTTAGCTAATCTTGTAATAAATTAAATATTTCTTCTAATCTCTTATTTAAAATACTTAAATTTAAATTACTGCCTAATAAGATACTCGTCAATTATTGCATAATTCAATCAAATAGTAATTAATCATATTTATTTTACGACAAGATTATTAATTTCTTTGTTTAATTAAACAATTAATCCCAGCTCATAAATAAAATAAATTTCATTTATAATTAAATGTCCCAAGCTTTTAAAATTTTTTAAATAATGAAAATAAAAATCTTTCATTTCACACAACATGAGTTGTTTATATTTTTGAAGAATCACGTGTTATATATTTTTTATAAATAAATATGTTTAAGAATTTTTCGACCATTGAAATAGTAATTAAGGTGATGTCCTTGTCACATCATACCCTCTAACTCAAATAAAAGGTAACAGTATAATAGGATTTACCAACTTCTTGTATACAAAATTTACAAGAAAAGGTTAAACTTACTTCCCCACTTTACATACTGAGTTAACTGTCTAACTCATGTTCATATAACTAAATAACATAATATAATATAATAAATAGAATAATTAATTATAATCATAAAACATGATCCTTTCGGTTGACTTCTTTTTTCTAAATAAAAACGTAAACATAAGTAGACAACATTATTTGATTTTCTCTCGTTGGCACTAGACATCATAACTCAAACTCAACATCTTTACACTAAAATATTGATATAGTAAATGCATGTGATGCAACTATTAGCCACTATTGCTAAGATCTAGAAAAATAAATAAATGGTAAGACTAATATTTTAGTGAATAATTCTCTAACTAAAATAAGAAAAATAAAAATATGGTCATATAATAGTATAAGTAAGAACAATTTATAAAACTAATACATGTAAAGAAAAACTTTAGAAAGCTGTTTCATAAAAGCATTTCAAAAAGTATCATATAGAAAGGCGTTTCAAAATAATATCAATTATTTATAATTTAAAATATGGCTAATTTCACTTATTGAGTCTGTAGATCTAATAATAACAAAAATATCATAAAACAACTAATGAATGGAAGTAAAGATATAGTGGCTTTGTACGTAAACCGAGGTCTAACGTGCATGTCGATAGATAAGAACAATTGAAAATAATACTGGAAGAATTTGCTAAGTGCTACTAACTATGAAATCTATTCTATGGTGCACCACTCTCAACTGGTAAACTAACATGGCTATTGTGGTACCTACATCACCCCACTGGACGATAAAATAACATGTAGTGCTATCATCCTAGTGATGACTACCTAGCAGATTGTCTAGATAAATAGCGTACATTTTCATAAATCAAAAATATATCATAAAAATATTATCCATGTTTCCACTTTCATAGCACAATAACCATAATATATAGATTGAAAATCAGTTATTGAAAAATAAAATCCTTGGTTTTTGAAATGAAACAAAGTTTTGAAGAGAAAATCATTTGTTTATATTGTTTTGAAAAATACCGAATTTAAGAGGAAAATCACTCATTTTTGCTTGTGTTCAATCCTATCAAGGTCAATTATGTCAACGTCATAGCCTAGCCTATATGCTTCTCCTATTAGAAAATAATATACATGATTAATGACATGTCTCAATTATGAATGAAGGTCTGATCAAATGTACACACGTGTTGAACAATACATAGTTAAATTCTCTCGTCTCCCACCTTTTCTTTTTTACTGTAGACTCTCTTCCCTTAACTCCATTATTACTTAATACTTAAGTCCTTAATTTAAACACATATTAAATACCTCTTTAGCCCCTCCAAAGGCTCAACCAAAAACCTCTCCTCTCTACTAAAGCTAGAAATTAAACACTTAATTTATTCTCACTTAAACTTGTTTTCTATCAACATTTTTGCCTCTAGTTCACTCATCTATTTCCTCCTATAATTTTCAGCCAAGCTCCCTATTTCCAGCCACCACCCTGGGGATAATCCCTCTCATAAACTGAAGAACTTTGCAAAAATATTATAGCATCATTACAAGAATTTACTAATCTGCCAAAGCCACACAAACCTTTCATCAAAACCAAGTTTATATCAAGGTTCCTAGGCTCGATTCCTATCTCCCTTTTCCTTCTCCTTCCTTCCTCTATTTTGCAACGCCTAAAATAAGTTAAACTCTCCCTCATCAAGCACTAAACCTTGCAGAAAAATTAGCAGCACTCACAAGATTCCTTAACCTCATCAATTATCTCAGTTCTTACCAAAAACTAACTTTTAATCACTAGGATTAATTTAATTTCCTTTCCTCCCTAACCTCCCTTTTCTCTTCTTCACAAAACAATCACTAAACAGCCCTCAAATTAGGACACAACCCAACAAAAATATGGAGGAAAGCAAACTAAACAAAAAGCCATAAACTAGTTGCTCACAACTTGCTCAAAACTCACCAAAAACAACCTAAACCACCCCCTACTTGTGATTAGTTCTCTTTCCCCCTTCTTCTCCCTCAAAATTTTTGAATCCTCTCCTTTCAAAATTTAAAATTAAAACTTTAAGATTACAGAAAATCAATAGTTAAAAACTCTAATATGGCATGAACTACACAAAACACTTTCAAAACCTTAACCAAATAAGTTTTCCCTAAAATACTAGGATTTGGTTCTTGTTTTCCCTGAACCCCTGATTTTACTCTATGAAAATAGCCTATAAACTGATGATAAACTGCTGAAATAGAAGTAAAAACATGGCTAAACTTAAAACATGAAAAGTTCTAAACAAACTTACCAAAATTCAAGCCCTAGCTTTGGTTTCCAGGTTCCCCTTCTTTATCCTCTTTGGCCTTTCTTTTCTCCCTCTTTTGCACAACTAAACCAGGTGCTTTCAGGCCTTTTATAGGCCCTTGAGGCAGTTCAAAGAGCCAAGGAAAGCTGCTTAAAAGCACACAACTCTCCCCTCAAGTGAAAAGACCATTTTGCCCCTTGTTAATGATTTTCTTCTCTTTGTGTCCTCTTCACCTGTTAACTTTCCTAACTAATTTCAATCACTTAATTCTCCACTTAATCCTCTCTCAAATCTCAAAAGTTTTAGGGCAAAAGGTATAATAAGAAACAAACTATAGTCCTTAAATTTTCTCACTAATTTTTTTCACTTTTAATTCCATTCTTGTGCTTCATGTTCCCTCTTTTCATTTTCTTCTCATTTTCCCTTCCTTCTTAGCTTCTAAAACAAGTCATAAAAGTCCTTTTACACCCTTCTCAAAGTCAGCCAAAGGAGCACCTCCTTATTGAAATTACCATTTTGCCCTTTACCTTTTTTAAGGGCAAAGTAAGTATGAAATTACCTTTTTGCGTTGCACTTTTCTCAAAGGCGAAATAAGTGTGAAATTACTTATTTGCCCTTTACAACAAACTATGACATCTCCTTAATAAAATGACTAAAATGACCTTACCCTGAAAGATTTCTTCCAATCTTGTCCCCTTGAGCTACATGTTTTCTTAAATTACTATTTTGCCCTTGTACAATTGGATTTATTCCCTTCATGTCCCTTTGAGCTACTACATTTCTAAAATTACCTTTCTACCCTTCAACTAGTTATATAAGACTTTTCTTGTCCATTGAGATTAGCAATTTTAAACTAGGGTTAAATCGCTAAATCTCACCAATCTTACTTAGCAAAAATAATCACTTTTATACTAAACTTCTAGGTTTTCTTTTGCAAACCTTGCTTTACTGTCAAATATATTTTCATCACCATAAAAGGCTCATTTCTTGTTGTCTCTCAAGTCATAATATCATTTCTCAAAGTCATAAAAAAAAAAATTAAATTAACTCTCGATTGATTACTATTTTCATTAAATATAACATAAATGTCAAAGTGAGGTGCAATGATGCAAACAATAGAGTTACTGGCGTTAGTACTGGGTTGGGAATGTTATAGTTCTCCTTTAACAAGGGAATGGCTAATGGTATTTAATTAAAATAAATTAATCAATTTAGTTAAATAAATAAATAAACCCTTCAATATTTTAATTTTTGAAAAATATAAATTACACAATCTTTTAGTCATTGAAAATATAT